CCCCAAAACCCCAAAACCCCAAAACCCCAAAACCCCTAAAAATCATTGAGATATTGAAATAATAATATTGAACTGCTATTAGGATTTCTCTTGTAACTCTTTTATTTCTTTATGCCTAGGGAGCATTGCTGTGATGTTCCTCAGGAACTTCCCAATTTTAGCTGCAAGGAGATTAAACCATTTGACTTCTCTAGCAAAAATTTGGGTCAACTCTCTTTCGCTATAAAGATCTTCACTGATGATATCAGTTTCTTTCTTGCGTATTTTTCGGCCGTTATTTAGTGTAGTAATCTCCGTCATTTTTAGGGTCGATGCATTTTACATATGTTTTAAGGTACTTGAGACAGGCATGCCAAATTATCGAAGCTAGAACTTTGAAATTCTGTCTTCAAGTCGTGTTAATGTTGATTCCAACTCCGACAGTTTCAGGTTGTAGAAATATCAATCCTGTTAGAATCTTACCCAAAAAGGAAAAAGGCTATTATCATCTGCTTTGCCTCATCAGTAGGAGATTTTAGAGAGCCATATTTTGTTAAAATGACTCGATGTAATTCAAAGATTGTTAAGAAGTTGTTTGGAATAAAGGTACCATCACTAGTCAGCTCGTTAAGGAAGAGGAGCAAACTATGAGGAAACTCAGTCTCAGTTGCAGCCTTTAGCAAACTACCAACTATTGATTCAACTCTGACTTTAGCTTTTCTGAAACGGCTATCAATAGTTGGAGCTGTAAAGGCATCTACAAAATCAATGGTAAAGGATTGGTCTTGCAGAAGTCCTTGTACAGGTACTTTTATTTGACTTAGAATGAAATTCTTGGCTACATCAATATATAGTACTAAACTGTCTTTGAAGTTGTTAATATTATCATTCCTTTTATCTATTTCTTTGTTCCTCAACTTCATGAGAATAGAGATGAGCTCTACGAATACCTTGCTATAAACTCTGAACTTTCTCCCAGCTTTCATCTTGGTTGATGAAGACAGCTTATCCTGGGCTTTTATAATAAGTTTTTCAAATAAGTTATGGTTCTGAAGCCCCTCTTGCCTCTTCTTCTTAGCTTCTTCTAATTTCTTATACTCTTCATCATCAAAATCAAGCTCTGCGTTGACTTCTTCCCCTGGGTCAAATTTAGGGATTCCGAGGCTATTAAGAAGCTCTTTTCTGTAGTACTTGTCGTTAGATAATCTGTCTTTCATCCTCATGACATCCTTAGCATGCTTATAGCTGGTATCTTTGTTAGTATCTCTAATAATTTTAGCTATTTCTTTGCGCTTCCTGGTTTCATCATCCATTTGGGAGTCATCACTTGAAGTATCAAGCTCACTATCATTAGAACTACTAAAGCTGATATCTGGATTTTCTTTCCTAATCTTTTCACGCTCGCGTCTTCGGATTCGTTTTTCTTTACGTCTCTTTTTAGCTTTCTTGTCTTTCCTTCTTCGTTTATTTTTCCTCTTTCCTTTTCTTCTTCCTAGCTCTTCTTTCTTCTTCACTATCTTCCTCATCTTGGTGGTTCATGTAGGCAGGAGGCATGGGAAGCATGGGACTCTGCATCCATGGAGGCTGTGAAATTGTATTAGGAATTTGAGGAGCAGAAGATTGTGAAGACTGGTGTCTCTCAAGTTGATTAATGTTTCTTTTCAGTTTATGTTTTAAGTTTGAATTTTGAAGTTCAAGATTCTCCAATCTCTTATTTTAAAGAATCGTCAGGGGATCTTGGTGCAGGCTTGTTAAGTTCTTGGAAGATCTAGAACAATGTCAGAGGAATGCTAAAATTCAATATCAATGAACAAGATTAAAGTTTTCGATACTCTGTAATTACCTGATTAGCATAAGGATTCACAAAGCTCATACTCTGATGGTTCTTTGGCTCCACTGCACTTGAGTAGCCAGGATAATTATTATCAGAGGTGATATATCTCCCAACTTGTGTAAGACGGGAGCTTCCTAAACGTTTCCCTAAAAGATCTGCATGACTTCCTTTGAGTCTTCCAGATGGTCCACCAGCTCCTTTAAGGTGAGTACCACTCATATTGACAGTGTTATGACTTTGCTGAGATGGTGCACCCTAAAAGTTAAGTCATCAGAATACCAAGAATGAATAGTTCATATTTATAATAAAAATAATTACAAATCCTAAAACTTCTTGGGGTTTTGGGGTTTTGGGGTTTTGGGG